TGGTCTTTTCAACCAACTCAAACACATGCAAAAGTTGGATGACAGAAGTAGACATAAGAACTGATGTCTTCTCACTGTGGTGTTGGCAAATACTGACTATATCGTGGATATTCAAAAGGATAAACTAATCAATTGTGGAAGAAATGCAAGCAGAATGTTTTTTAAAAGCAAGGAGAGTGTGGCTTTTCCTCTCATGCTTTTGATATGTCATTAGAAAAGGACACTAACTGAAAAGGACCTCATGGCTGGTCGAGTCAGATGAGCAGAGAGAAGCTCGACAGCCTCAGCCATGGACTCAAAACCAAGGTACACCAAGCCAGCACAGAACAGGCAATGTTTCAGTCTATTATGCATAAGGTCGCGGTGGGTTGGAGCCAACCTGAAAGCCAGTGACAACAACAATAGCTTAATACTTAGGATCAAGCCAGCTCAATGGCTTCCAAGGACTGCATGACAGTGGCAGTTCCAGAATCTTGCCCAGGCAGGGCTTCAGGACAGCCACTGATTGGAAGGAGTGATGTGACTGAAACTGTGATAGTTATAGCAATGTGTGTAAGTTTATCACCAAGATGGTAGACTCTCTCCAATGATCCCAGTCCTCCCTTCCTTCCAGGCATATGGCAGGATTGAGCTTTCTCATTACTTGGAGTTAGAAGAACCATCAACTTCCTGATAAGAGAGGATTCAAGGAGACATAACTCTTCTTAAGCAGCTCTGGCGGTGGAATCGATAGAGAGTTGTACTTCTAACCCAAACGTCGTGCTTCTCTGGAAGATCAAATCCACCAGGGGCTCTGCAGGAGGAAAATGGGCAGTTACCTCCCTTTATGATTCACAGCCCTGGATAGCCAATGAAGAGTTGTTATGAGTCAGAATTGATACAATGGCAGTGAATGTTAGTGAGAAGTCCCATCCAAGGTAGAATTATCCAAGAGTCAAGGTTTCAGTCATCAAGCTTTCTCTTCACTTGTTGCAACAACTGTTGCTCTTAAGGTAACCTCAGAAACAAAACATCTTGGAAGGGAGTCAACCCAAGAAGACAGGTGCTCTGGAGAATCACCTGGATCTTCAGGGAACTTCGTGGGATAGACACATAGCATTAAGCTACTGAGCTTTGCAAACTGTTATGAAAGCATAATTCAGCCCACTCTGACCAATCCAGTGGCAAAGAATGTGAAGATGGAGATGGATGCAGATTATACTTCGTCACAGGTCTGCTTCAGCCAAGTCTCCAACAATGAAATGAGGGGACATCGTCGTTATTACTATTTGGTAATAACAAAAATGTTTTGTGACATATGCTTTACATGTATCCACTCTTTTAACAACTCAATGAGGTCGCTATGTTATATTTTATAAATAAAGTTTAAACAAAACAAAACAACAAAAACACCACTCTCACTGAGTTCACTCTCACCCCACATCATTAATGGGTTCTGAGGCTGTAAATTGTTGCAGGGCAAGACTGCCTATCTTTCTTTCTTGGTGCACCTGGTAGACTCTAAAATGTTAGCCGCCCAGTCGATACATAAGGAACTGTGCCACCAGAATGCCAGAGAAATTACAAAGTGGGGCTTTAAGGGAAGAGTTTACATACTGTGTGGCAAGGGATGGGAAAGTCAGAACTCGAACCCAGATCTTTGCAGAGTAAAGCCTGTGTAACTCTGATTCCTAATAACCTTATCGTTCTGCTGCAGAGGATAAAACGATGCAATGAACAACTGCAATAAGTATGGAGCTGGCTACGACTTAGCAAACTAAGAAAGGAGAATTCTGAATCTGGCTATATTTCTGGACATAAATAAAAGGGTAAAGCCTTTCTCTCTCCACTCTACTCTAAACCTCATGAACCAGCTTCTTTCCTCAGCTGTAAGGCATGAAGGAAGGAAGGGGGGGAAACAATACACAGGCAGGCTCTCCTTCAGCCCTTGTAAGCAATTAGGATTCCAACCGCTTAAAAGCAATGGGATAAAACCAAATAGTCCCCCAGACAGAACTGGAAAGCTAGTTTCTCAAAAACAGCTAGCTAGCTTTATGTGCATTTTCTACACTTTGGGTTGATTTTTCATTCAGTAAGATTTCCATCAGTATGGAGGGTGAAGAGATTGAGATAGTTAACAGTTTTAGTTTACTTGGCTCCACAATCAACACTCTTGGTAACAGCAGCCAGAAAATCAGGAGACAAACTGCATTGGGAAAGTCAGCTGTGAGGGACCTCTCAAGAGTACGGAAGAGCAACAATGTCAGGCTGGAGACTAAGGTGCACCTGACCTGGACTATAGTCTTCACAATTACGTCCTATGCATCAGAGAGTTGGACAGTGACTAGGGACGACAGAAAGAGAATTGATGCCTTTGAGCTGTGGTGCTGGGGAAGAGTGTTGAATATACCATGGACCTTGGAGTCAAGGATTCTGAAGTTCAAGTGACATACTTTGGGCATGTTGCAAGGAGGGACTGGTCCTTGGAGAGGGACATCACATTTGACAGGATGGAGGGGCGGCAAAGAAGAGGAAGGAGAGAGAGGAAGATCGATGAGATGGATCGATTCTGTGACTGGAGTAGTGGGAATAAGTGCATTTGGAATGGCTAGGCTGGCACAGGATAGAACAGCATTTAGAGCTCTTGCACATAGGATCGCTATGAATTGCAAGCGACTTGATGGCACATAACAACAACCATAAGATTTCCCAGGTGCCTTCTATGTGCCAAGAGAACTCTGGTGGCCTAGTGGTAAAGAGCTGTACTGCCTACCCATAGGTAGGTGGTTCAGGTCCACCAGCTGCTCTGGGGGAGAAAGATGAGCAGACTCCTCTGGGGCTGATTCACAGCCTCTCAAAAACTGCTGGAGGGTCAGATACGAGTCAGTTCTGATTGAACAGCAATGGGTGGGTATGGGCACATGTGCCGAGCACCTAAAGGAGAATTGCTTCACTTTAAAGGATAAACAATGCCTGGATCATGAAATTTTATTGCCATAATCCTTTTAAGTTGCTCCAGAAACCTTAACCAAAATAAACAAAAGAAAACAAAAATCTCTACTGTAGTCCAATAGACAGCAACTCATATGCCGTAAAGTACAACTGATCCACAGTTGTTTTCTTGGCTGTAATCTTTGTGGAAGCGTATCTGCAGGTTGAGGTTGAATTTCCAACTTTGCAATTACTGTTCCCGTTGTTAGGTGCCATAGCATTGGCTCCAACTCACAGCGACCCTGTCCTATCCTGAGTAACCCATGAGATAGAAACCTTGTCCCGGCTCAAGCCATTCTGCCCATTGCCATTGTGCACAAACCTTTTGTTGCAATCACTGTGTCAATTCACTCATGGAAGGCCTTTCTCTCCTGTGATGTTTGGTTATTAGTTGAGCTTAAACAGCTTGTGCCACTCAGGAATCCTCTGCTTGCTGTGTGCTGTCAAGTCAGAACCACCTCACAGCTGACTCTCCAGCTGGTTTTCAGAGGCAGTTAATCACAAGGGAGGAGACTGCCCTTCCTTCTTCCACAGAGGAGGTAGTGAATTTGAACTACATGGCTTTGGGATTGCAGCACAGCTTCTTAACCAGTAGGCCACCATAACTCTCTCAGGAGGCCATAAGAAACTCCGAAAGTTCTAAACTGTGAAACTGTTTTCTATCTTATTATGGGCATAAAAAATATATATTGTGGGTTTGGCTCCAGGTCATTACAATAAAGTGAACATCACAAACAGGTAACATGAAGATGTTGGTTTCTCAGGACAGATACAGTTTATGTTTACATGGTGGTAACAGTAGATGTTTGGGCAACTAACCTAAAGGTCACTCATTCAAACCCACTATTTACAGCCCAACACTTATGGCAGTCTTGTTTCATAACAGTGGTGTTATGCAGTATTTGTCCTGTTATCACTGAGATATTTCACTCTGCATGATATCCTCTAGGGTCATGCATGTTGTGTAATATTTTATGAGTTCTTTGTTTTTCAGTGCTGCATAGTATTTCATTGTGTGAATATACCCAAGTTTTTCTATCCATTCCTTTGTTGATGGGCACTTGAGTTGCTTCCATTTCTCTTCTATTGTGAATAATGCAGCACTAAACATGGGTGTGCATATATCTTTTGGGGTGGCAGCTCTGGTTTCTTTAGGGATATATTACTAGTAGTGGAATTGCTGGTTTAAATAGTAGTCCTATTTCCAGCTGGTGAGTGGGTGGGGGTGTGGTAGGGAGCAAAATGTGAAAGAAAGAATCAATGAAAATCCAACTTTTCTGTAAACTTTCATTAAAAATCACAATTTCAAAAAGAGAAATATTTACGGCATTGGAAACCCAAAGGAATGTTACCATGAGTACAATCAGTTGAGAGCAGCACCTAGCAGCCTTCTCCCATGTGATTTACAGCCTTGGAAAGTCAGTGGAGAGCCAGTGCTGATGCAATGAGTTACGTGTGCAATCAAGTTATGAAAAAAACCTGAAATACTTCCAACATGTGACTAGAAACGTAAAGTGAGTATCTGCTGTTGGAAAAACTGCACAGACTTACTCCATACAGTGCTGCCATAAACCTTCAACTTGTAAAAACAGAATAAAGGGGAGGGGGGAACAACAGAAGACATCCCAGCAATACTGCAAAGTGCAATAAAGTAATGTGCAATAAGATACGGTCTGCCTGTGTTGATCTAAGCTTATGTGGGAGTGTTTATGGTCTTTGTCCCACTTGGTGTGAATATTATACATATGCTGAAGGAAATTCAATGTGTTCACTTCCCTAGACTCAGCTGCGTACAGCACATGATAAACAGTACAGAAAATGAATTTCCTTTCACTTTCCCAAACTCCCTCATCTGCAAGACATCTGGATCCCAAGGATTTGGGATGTGGTGTTGTTGTTGTTATTGTTACGTCTGATTGGGTCAGAACTGACTCATAGCTGAGCTTCCAGCGAGTTTTCAGAGGGGTAAATTGCACACAAGATGGTCCATCTTTCTCCAGCAGAGCATCTGGTATATTCAAACAACGTACCTTTCCACAGCTCCTCATTGCCATAATCCTTGGGTACCTGTTCCCAGAGGCTCATCCTGTCTTTCACCTTTAGAATCAGTACAGAATTTGGGAGCTGAGATAAACTCACTGATCACTCAAGGGCCCTGTATAATCCATAGGATTGGGGATACTGAACCTGAATTTCAACAGAAAGTTGCCTTTGCAAACTTCCACGTGGTCTTGATGACTTATGTATGACTAAAATCAAACTGTTCTCAACTGGGAATTGTCTAGAACATTTAGCATTCATTAGATTTCTATTTATTTCCCCACACAGCTTAAGGGGAAACTACAATTATGTTAAATGTAGAAAATGTTCAAAATTGCCATAATCTTTGGGTGCCTATTCCCAGAGCAGCCTCTTCATGTCTTTCACCTTAAGAATTAGTGCAGAATTTGGGAGCTGGGATAAACTCACAGATCATTCAAGGGACCTGGTAAGGTGTAAAGAACAGAGTTCTGGACTCCTATGTCTGAAAGCTGGACAATGACTAGGGATGGGAGAAGGAGAATTGATGCCTTTGAGCTGTGGTGCTGGAGAAGCGTGTTGAATATACCATGGACTCCTAGGAGAACAAAGAGTATAGTCCTAGAGGGGGTGAGACCAGGCTGCTCCTTGGAAGCAAGGACTCTGAAGCTTTGTCTGATAACACTTTGAACATGTTTCAAGGAACGACTGGTCCTTGCAGACGGACATCATGCTTGGGAGGATGGAGGGACAGTGCAAGAGAGGAAGACCCTGGATGAGATGGATTGATTCAGTGACTGGGATAATGAGGGTAGGTGTATCAGAGACAATAAGATTGGCACAGGATAGAGCAGGATTTAGGGCCGTTGTACATAGGATCACTGTGAGTTGCAGGTGACCTCACAACACATAACAACAACTATATTCCACAGCAATGTTTTCTAAACTGGAGGTCATGATATATTCACTTAGTTAAGACACGAATTCAATTGAAACTCTTATTTTCTTAAAAATATTAAATAACCAACCTGTGGGGGGGGATTAAATAAACACAACAAAAACAAAGCAAAATATCACAGCTGTGTGTTTCACACAGCAAAGGTCAATATTGTTTCACCAAATGCCTGCTCTGTACAGAACAGAGCTGTGCTATTAATCCATGGCTGGGGGGGGGGCCTCTCTCGTGGCTCAAAGCCACCAGCGGCTCCAAAGGAGGAAGACGAGCGTTCTCCTTCACTGTGATTGAAAAAGCCTTGGAAAACCGACTGGAGGGTCAGCAAGGAGTCAGTTCCAACTTAACAGCAATGGGTTTGAGCGAATATGGATACACATTTATGTTTATACTAACACGGGCATTGTGGACTGTCACTTTATTTCTCCATCGGTTTCATTCAAGAATCAATACATATTTTGTTTTCTAACATTCACTGCAATGGATCATGTCGTTTGCTACACTATCTCACCCAATCCTCACTGTACCTTGCCTTTCCCGCATCCTGCACACCCATCTGCTAATGTCTGCTATTCTCTCCCTTCACTCCCATCTAGCAATATAAAAGTTAGGACAAACTTTATCAGAAGGCAACTTAAAAGAAAGACTTTCAATGAGTCGGTGGCAACAATTGGCTTCAGCACAGCAGAGACTGTAAGGTTGGTGAAAGATAGAGCACGTTTTCACTCTGCTGTTCGCAGGGTTGCTGTGAGTTGTAGTCAACGCGATGGCACCTAACAGCAAAACCATCAGCAGGCACCCTATCCATTTATTTACTCATTCAACAAATATCTACTGAAAGGCATCTAGAAAGGCAAGGGTGGGGCTGGGAATGGGTAGTGGACAGGGAGGAATGCTTTAGCAAGGAGCTGATGCTTGAAATGAGTTTTGAGAGATGAGTAGGTGTAAAAGGCACAGAATAAAGGCCATTATGTAATGGAAATAATTACCTCGTTCTCTGGGACTAAGGAGCAGCTGATTAATTAATACCCGCTCTGCCTACCTCACTGAAGTTACTGGGTGCTTGAAGAGAAACGTGCTAGGAGAACAGTCAAAATCAACCCTGTTGCTGCCAAGCTGATTCCAACTCACAGCTCCCTAAAGAGCGGAACAGAACTGCCCCTGAGGGTGTGCTGGGTTATCATTTTTACAGAAACAGACTGTCACATCATCTTCCTAAAGTGGAACTAAGGTTTCAAACCACTGACTTGGTTAGAAGATGAGAGATTAACCACTGTGCTACCAGGCCTCCTTCAAAAGCCAATAGGCTTCACGTACTGTTAAAAACTAAAGTTACAGCCAAAGGCGAGTGATTGGGGTCTACCAGCTGCTCCATGGGGAAAAGATGGGAAATCTCTTTATATGCTGTTTACAGCCTCTGAAAACCCACTGGAGGGTCAGCTATGAGTCAGATCTGACTCAACAGCACAAAACAAATTCTATTTATAGCACTTTAGAGTGAAGGAGTAGATTGATTTCCTTCCGCTTGGAGCCACAAGCACCTATAGAAGCAGCAATTAAAAATTAAAGCACTGGATAGGACAAATCTACTGCAAAAGATCAATCTCTTTAGAGTTTCAAAAAGCAAAGGTGACATTTTTATGACCAAAGTGTGCTTGACCCAAGTCATGGACTCTTCAATGGCCTCTCATGGATGTAAAAGCTGGACAAGGATGTTTAAAGACTGGAGGAATCAAAACTGTGATATTGGCAAGCATGTTACCTATATTACAGATGGTCAGAAGAATGAATCATTCCACTTATTATGCATCTGAAAGCTTGACAAAGACTAGGGATGACAGAGGAAGAAGTGAAGGCTTTGAGTTGTGGTGCTGGAGAAAAGCACTGAAATGGAATGCCAACAAAACGAGTCTGAGGAGAAAGTGAAAGCAGGGTGCTCCGTGGAGGCAAGGATAGTAAAAAACTCTATCTCACATATTTGGGGCATCTTGTCAGGAGGGGCCAGTCCTTGGAGAAGGACATCATGCTTGGAAAAGTGCAGGGTCAATGAGAAGGCTTGATACAGTGACTGTAACATGGATGGTCAAGTGTGCTGAAGATAGTTTAGGACAGGGTAAGGTTCAGAGCCACTGTTCATAAGGTCACTATGAGTTGTTATTGACTCAACAGCACATAACATCAACAGAAGAAAGACAAAATAACATCCTTTGCCATTGACTTTGACTTTGACACATGGATGGGTGGAATAATACAGAGTATGTTAGTCTATCTACCAGGAGACTGGCTAGACTCAGATCCCACTAACAAGGGAAAGGAAACAGGACATGTCCTGCAGGGCCAGAGACTCCTGCACCAGCCAGACCAAGGTCTGCCCTAGAGCAATGTCAGCCTCAGCAGAGATACAGAGACCAACATGAAACAGAGCTAACTTGAGATTGATGCCCCACAGAACCAGAGCCAGAGGCCATCAACCCAAGCTTATTGGAGGGCTTAGGGAGAATAGCATAACTGGCAAAACAAAGGAACTTTTTAACAATTTTAAGCTGTGAGGCTGGAAGTCAAAGGATCTATAGATACAACTGAAATGCTGTCTGGAAAGAGGAACTGTATTCTGCTGTCAGCCTGAACTATAAATTGTTAAATTCCTTAACACGTTGCTGCAAATGATGGCAAATGTGTTTCTAAGCATGGTCGTCAATTTAAAAAGTGTGCGGCAACGTGTTAATAAAACCCATACCATGAGTATGGCTTTGCACAGTCCATGTACTCATTGCAACAGATTTCAGACCCAATATAACAGTAAGACTGGTGTTGGAATTAGTAGAAGTTGGTACAAGAGCATGGGAGAATATTTCTGATCTAATAGGAATTAGTTTAATACTATGGATGTTGTTGATGGGGACAGTTCCCCCTCATGGAGTTTGTCGAATTCAGACTCGGACATCTTTATGCTGCCTACCCTCAGTTGACATTTCCTTTTCAAAAGTGGTATAAACCATGTACCAAAGTCCTAACATCATTCTTACTTCCCCCTCTAGTCCATTAGATTTCCATGAACTATGTCTTTATATGTGATATGGAATTCAAATGGGTGGATTACCCCAGAATCAAGATAAGCAAGGTAATTAGTCAAGAACAACTTCACATCTTTTTATTATTACCTTTCTTTTAAAAAAAGGTGAAAACCATGTGAAACTCCCCACTACAGATTATGAATTAAACCCAAGTTATCCTATCGTTTTCTTGCTTATGGAGTATCTCATCCCTGGGTTTTGTTATTGTTGTTTTTAGGTGACTCTCATAGAGAACCTGTGAACAACAGACCTAAACTTTGCCCTACTGTGAGCTATCCTCAAAGTCTTTGATATGCTTGAGACAAATGTTGCAGTCCCTGTGTCAATTCACCATGTTGAAGGTCTTTCTCTCTTTCCCTCCATCATTCTCTGCATCTTTTCTGAAGATTGGCCCCTCCTGATATTACGTCCCAAGCATGTGAGATGAAGTCTCACCATCCTTGCCTCTAAGGAGCACCTCTGATGAACTTCCTCCAAGACAAATGCAGTTGCTCCTCTGGCAGTCCATAGGATACCCAATACTCTTCTCAAGCACCACAACTCAAAGGCTTCAATTCTTCTTCCATCCTTATTCACTGTCCAACTTTCAGATGCATAAGAAGTAATTGAAAAGACCTTGGATCAGGCACATTTCAGTCTTTAAACTGACATCCTCATCCTTTAGCACTTTGGAGACATCTTTGACAGCAGATTTTTCCCAAGGCCTTGGAAACCTGAGGGAGAGTTGCTATGAGTTGGAGCTTACTCAAGGACAGTGGTTTTGTTGGGGGAGTGGAATGAGTGGCATGATAATAGCTTTTGAAGGAAGTGTTCCTTAGAGGCAAAAATGGTGAAACGTCATCTCACTTATTTTGGGCATATTTTCAAGAGGAACCAGAGAGAGACATCATGCTGAGAAAGGTGGATGGTCATTGAAAAAGAGGATGACCCTCAACAAGATGAACTGACCCAGAGATGATGGCAAGACAAAGATTACGAGGCTGGCACAAGACAGGACAAGATTCAGATCAGTTGGCCATAGGGTCGTTATGAGTCCAAGT